GCCAGCCGCTTTGTAAGGGGGTGGACTTGACAAAGCCCTTTTACACCAGAACCGCTTCGGCCCCTCGGGGGGGGGGAGCTAAAAATTGCGAGACGGGCAATTTATCTGTGCTAGGCCTTCCACTCTTCCATACAGAAACAAAGTTGGCCATCAGAACTTTTATTTTTACATTAGCCGTTTTTATGGGAGGTCACGCCCGAAGAAAAAGCCCACAAATGACTATATGCAAGCTTTTTTAGTTTTGATTCCAGCCGAAAACGCACAACATAACCCCAAGGGGAGAAGTCTTTCCAGTAAAACCATCATTTTAAAAGTTGTAATGTTAGACGCAATCAACAGACTATTATGTTCTTTTGTTGTTTGGAGTGGTTGGTAAATCTTGAAAAAGACAAATGCCCTCACCAGCACATCACGATCTCTAGGTATTTTTGGATTACTGGTGGGTGGTCACATCATGGAGACATTTTGAGCCCTATCTTGTTTTATGAATATATTGACAGTTCAGGTTTTACCACGATTTACGATCACACTGTAATAACTAGGATTGACATTTAGATAATTTCAGCTGGATTTTGACTGTTACAAACTACGCTTGATCATTTCAAACCCAGAGAATTTTTTGACCAGTTTGAAATTTCTTTTTAGCTTAGTGTATATTATAAAATATTTTATTTAATTTTATGCATATTATTTATTCATATTAGCTTGTGAATACGTACGTCTGTTGGGAGAAGATTTTCGTGAGATCTTCGTGAATATGTAAAGGACACCTTCTCATGATGTCCCGATGACACGACTGCACGCTAACGATTGGCCCATTAGCTCGTGAAAAATGAAAGCGTGACAGTTCGATGACGATTCCTCTTAGACACACGCGCGCGTAGTTCTCCGGCCTGATTCATAGGTTGATAAATTTATACAGATCTACCGAAGGCCCCCCACCTTCCTCGGAGGATCTTACAAATTGCATCCAGCCTGACGTCTACCCTAGATAAAGCACGTCTCCCATCAAAACGGAGTCCGTTAATGAATGCCATCGGATGGAGTGTTGGGTAAATCTTGAAAAAAATTAATGGCATTTGTTATTTTTAAAAACCAAAACACTCTATTGCATTTAAAAAGAAACCTACTGAAGTGTTAAAAAAGGTAAAAAAACCTTTGAAAAAAAATTCAAGCGACAAAAATGTCAGGGTTTACCTTGTATAAGGGCGATATTTATACATACCAACGAGACCACCAAAATATATATGTTTTCAATTTAATTTACCTTGCTGTTAATCAGCAAATATAGAAAAAATTAAGCAATAAAAAGTTACGTCAAAATTCACTGTTTTGGACAAATGGTGTTCAGAACATGTGCAATTTAGACAAAACTAATACTAAAATCCTTTAGGTTAGGTCACTGAATGATTTTAGTTTCTTGAATGAACCTTGATTATATTATTATAGTAATTTTTTAGCTTTTGGGTACTAACTTTTTTTTATCTTATTCAGACAAACTGTGAACGTTTTTACAAATTAAAATTGGTTTTAGAAAGATGAAATTTAATTTTTATGTTAATTTAATTTTTTTAGCCGAACAGTGGATATCAGTCAAAAGTCAAGATTCGTCTTATCGTAAAGGTTTTCACATGCACAGTGATGTTAAAGTGGGCGAGGCTAAATTGATAGTCTTTACTTCTTCACTTGTCGGGTGTTAATTTGAAAAAAAATCAGGCATTTTGGATTTTTATTTATACGTTAGTATAACTGTATTTACGTATCTTCAGGTAAACAGTGGTCGTCTGTTGTTAGGCCAAATTTGTTACATATGTCGTATACATTAATGTGGGCGTTATCAAGGCCCATAAAATCAGTTTTCAAGCACTCGAATTTCAGGATCATATTTTCTTAATTAATGTGGAAACTGTAGTTATTTTTGAAGTACTTAATATATTTTTAAGTTGATTATTGTTGTTAAACTGAGCGTGGCTAACTGGGCTAACTTTACAAAATAGCGTGGTGAAGGTTAGTTGTAAAAACCAGTTGTAACATTTGCAATCCTGGATTTATTAAATCATATGAAATGTTGGTAATAAATTAATGACTTTTATATCTTTAAGTGGGTCATTGTATATAAAGTGGGCGTGGCTAATTTGGTGACTTTACAAAATGGGCGTGGTCAAGATTAGTTACGGAATACAGTTTTGAGGTATTTGCAAATTGTTTTACATTGATGTTTCTGGCAAAATCATGTGAAAAGTGGTTACCCCATTAAGAACATTATATTTGAAAGTTGGTAATTGTAGTTAATGACAGCGCGGCCAAGTTGAAAAACCTTATAAGATAGGCGTGGTCAAGGCTAGTTGTAAAAGTTGTAAAAAACAGTTGCGATATTTGCAATCCTGGCTTTATTAAAGTTTCTGCAAACTCATGTGAAAAGTTGTTAATCGTTTAATGACTTTTTATATCTTTAAATAGGCCATTGCATATAAAGTGGGCATGGCTAATTTGGTTACTTTACAAAATGGGCGTGGCCAAGTTTAGTTACGGAATACAGTTTTGAGGCATTTGCAAATTAATTTTCATTGATGTTTCCGACAAAATCATGTGAAAATTGGTGAAGTTAAGAACATTATATTTTAAAGTTGGTAATTGTAGCTAATGTGAGCGCGGCTAATTTGGCAAACCTTATAAGATAGGCGTGGTCAAGGTTAGTTGTAAAAAATAGTTTTCATTATCCTTATATTAAATATTTCCACTAATTTATTAAAACAGTGATTGTCGGAGTCTGCTAAGGAGTTATTAGATAACTAGTATGATCTAACGATGATAATGATGATAGCGAGTAAGCATGGCTTATATTAGCTAAGTTATTGGACGGAGTAACAGTTACAAGACCTGAACTAAAACTAAAATTAAACTTTTTTTGAGTGCTCGGCTATTCTAATTTTTCTGCTTCTTCATTAAAGATGGCGCAATGCAAAAACGCGTTTGAGTAGTTCAACAAATCCGCGAGTGAAGACGGATCCAAGAAGTGGCCTAGTGACGGTATAACATTTTCTACTTCCGTTCGCACTTTTCAGTGTTAGCTTCTCTCGTTTTTGAGAAAAAGAACTAACGTTGACCACGCCCGGATTCACGCTAATGTTGCCATCGAACTATTAAGCTACTATAAGCTTGTAAACAACTGGGAAGAAAACAAAAAATCTAAAAATCTGAAATTTTAAAGAAAATATGCCTTACCATTATTAGGAAATATCTTCAAAATTATCGATCAATCTGGGAATAATTTTTTGATATTTCAGGTTCAGCTTTTTTCTTGTTTTTAAATAAAGGGGTTTGGGTTAGGCTAAACCAGCATTATTCAACAGTTATGCGGAGACTGTTGTATCAAAGCGCCTTAATTTTGTCATCACAATATTATTTTATTCCACACATCTCTGATTCGAATGAAAATAACACAATGGACAAGCATACTATTAACTAAAGAAATTTATGATAATTAAAAAATACTATGCCTGGACAACGCTGCAACAATAAAAAGAAAAAGATACAATAATTGAAATATTCCGTTTTTATTCCGAGGCCATAGTAATAAAAGACAAAGGAACAATTCCCCAGAAAGCAGCCCTGAAGTGCAAATGCAAATGCCCAATAAACACTTAAAAACAGTGAGCATGACGGAGATATGGATACTCTGATAATGAAATTTGGCCAATTAATAGAAGAAAAATGAAACAGTGCAGTCAGTTTATTTTCGACTAAACAGGATTTCAGTTACCTTAATTTAATAATGGATGGAATGACAAAAGAAGATGAATTCTTATAAAAAAGGTCTGCACTATGAAAGATAAAATAATCAAAACATTAAAACATCAGATAGTATGATTGTGAAATTAAAGGCAAGAAACATACTAATATGGGGAATCAATGAAAAGGAGGAGAGGAGTCATTTAAAAAAAAAAAAAAAAGTGTGAAAATAAACTGAAAATCCAGGTCGCCGTAGATGGAGCGAGCACATAGGATCGGTTCCAAAAGTCCGAGGACTGAGTTGAATTGTTGAATTTACCCAGATTTCGCATGTCTATTTGGTGCTATCCAAAACTTCAAAATTGTAAAATTCGAGCATTTGGACGACTAAAAATCTGTGCTTGAAAAAACTTCTTTTAGTTCCAGCAATGTTTCTGCTGGAACTAAAAGAAGTTTTCTTTAAACACAGATTCTCTATTATGGAGTTCCATGGCTTGGACTGTACTACTTTAGACAAAATATTGACTAAAAATCTCACTGAAAACAAAAGAAACGATTACGACAGATAATAAAGGAGAAATGAAATTATAAGAGAATATAAGAACTTTGAAAAAATATACTACTATATATAAATTTCTCAATAACTTAAACCAACTGAATTTTTAATTGAAACAATTATATTGATAGTAATTTTTTTTTACAAAAGTGTGACTACCTAACTCAGGACGAAAGATGGAAGATTGAAAGCATGTGGCATTGCAAATGGAGTGGATAAAGGCGCGCTTTTTGGCACGCTTATTTTCGCTTTGTTTATCAATAGAAGTGATAGAATGAATCGAGGTGGAATAATATATGTCACAAGGTGAAAATCAGGTTTCATTGGCCGACTTTAAATACTTTCTCGAGGTACGAATAGGACAGTATAAATTCTTTAATCATCCTGGTTTTCGTCCTAAAAATGACATATTCACGCACAGACCAACGACTGAAGAAGACGAAATGCAAATCTGATCATAGGAAACGACCAACCTTTTTCAAATGTATTGAATTAATATAATATTTTATTACATTAAATAAAGGTGAAACATTAAAAAGTCAAATAAAAAGTTAAATAATATTTGTAATACTTGGGGGTGGGTTTTTATACTTTTACGCGGTTCACTTTATAGGAGAAGCACTTTTTTAACAATAAAGTTTTATAATCGGTCGGCTGAGTTGTTAAGAGGCCCATTACACGTTATGGGATGGAGGAGTAAAAGGGCTCTTACCTGATACCGACTGCCTTCTTCGAGGGGCCTCAGCTGGAAGTAGAGAGCCCATGGAAGGGTAATGGACAAGGAGAAGGTCCATATGATGAAAACGGCGACTTTAACGGCCCCTGAGGTCACCTGCCATTTCATCGGGAAGCAAATGGCTAAGCACCTCTCCACGGAGATGGCGACCAAAGTGTTTATCGAAGCGTTCACCGAGACGCCTTGCAGATAGGGGATCGTCTTGCAAACCAGCCATCCCATCGTCCATGCTGAAACAATCGAAAATTATAAAGTTTTTTTTTTTTAACTTTAGAAATATCTTGGAGTTGTGAATGGGAAGAGGGGCATGACAAAACGCAATATGAGAGGCAGTAGACGAAGCCGCGGGGGGTTCTCAGAGCCGTTTAATTTACCGGCTTAATCAAGTAAGATAAACATAAAATAAGGGTGAGACTTTCACCGTGGGGAGGGGGACGGAAAAGACTCCGTAATAATTTACGTCCGACTCGTTTCGCGGGGAAATATATTCAGGCGTTTACACTATGGGAGGGGCGGCTGTGAGGAATTTGAAATGTATGTCTTGGCCAGTCTTATTGCACCAGGTAAAGGATTTGTTTTAAACAATCGCCGTCTGGAGTGGATCCGCATAAACGACGAGTTGATTTATCCAACTAAATGTTATTCCCATTCTGGCTGTAAAATCACAACAATATATTTGGTAAGATCGGGGATGTTGTCCAATGAATATTCTCGTGTTGAAACTACGGCAATCTTTCGATGTTTTATTTCACGTTCCATTACATTGTATTTAGTATAAGAAATGACAAAACGAGAGAAAAATATCTATACAAGTTAATAAGAGAAAACAATTTTAAACATTGACAAAGCATCTAGCCCTGAAGAAGGAGAAATAAAACACCGAAAGCTTGGCGTACTTTCAACACCAAAACATTCATTGGACCACTTTTCCGGTCCTACCAAATTTATTGTTGAATAACAACTGGCCGATCACCTTTACACCATAAAATCACAACTTACTCAATTTTTTCGACCAAATTCTGAAATATTTTTGCAGATTACCCTTCGTTGTAATTATATATATATATATATATATATATATATATATATATATATATATATATATATTAAGAAACGATCAGGTATGATGCCTATCAGAAAAAAACCACTCGGTTTCTTTGTCGAAATTTCGAGAAACAGGACCCCTTCATCATATCATTTTTGCTACAGAATGCACTAGTCATGTCTGATTTATCTTATTTGGTTAAATGTGTGGTGTTTAGTGATCGTTAGTCAATGATTATTCGGAGATCGTGAGATGCGGTCTGGTGTGACGTAGGTTTTAGAAAAACTTTTCTCTATCGTGCCAACGTTTAGAGCTTTATTGAGATCATCTTCAGGGCCTGGGATTTATAAACATTGTTTGAATTTTACGAATAAATTTAAGATGTGGAAAAAAATATGAATTTATGCCATGCTAGAAAATTAAAACAAAAATGAATTTATACAATGATAGAAACTTTTAGATACAATCAAAGTATTCGTACTCACTCAGGGTTTGTTTTCCGTGTAGATATGTCATTCTTGTGAGTTGTGTTGAGACTGCGTGAGTTTTATTTTAATCTAAAATTTTCTAGCATTATATAAATTCATTCTTTTTTAAATCTAAAATTTTATAACATTGTATAAATTCAATTTTTTTAATCTAAAATTTTTTAGCATTGCATAAAGTCATCATTTTTTCCCACATCCTACATGTATTTGTAGAATTTAAACAATGTTTATAATTCCCAGGCCCTGAAGATGATCTCCATAAAGAACGAAACGTCGGCACGATAGAGAAAATGTTTTTCTAAAACATACGTCACACCAGACGCATGTCACGATCTCCGAATAATTATATGGTTAATATGATCTCAATATTTAATTTAGTTACACTCAAAACGATAAACTTCAAAAATTATAATTATCATTCATTTTGTATTTCTTTGATTAAAACGATGCAAACTTGTAGCGGGAGTTTAAAGGGTTATGGCATAGATATGATATCCATATCATAAGAAACATATATTACAATCAGAAAAGTATGTAAGAGGAATTGAAAATTTGCCGAGGAACTTGAGGAGTTGGCCAGGGATGAATTTTGTCACCTATCCTATTCAATGTTTTGGTAAAGCTTTCTCAGAAACCTCAGAAGGCTTAACCATAAGTAGTCGAAACGTAAACAATATGATTCTGTGATAATTACATCTTTAATATAAAAAATCGCTATAAAATATAAATAAATTTAAGAAAACTAATTATATAATAGGTAGTAAGACGTTAAAAAAGTCCACATAATGAAATTTGAAGCATTTTGATGTGCTTTCACCGCAGAATAATTAAAATTTCATGGACTGATCACATCTGAAATGAAGAAGGTTCATGGAAAAATTGGGTTCATCAAGAAGGGACAATTGGACTGTTTCGGCCATATAACAGTAGAATAAAGAAAATGTTCTTCAACAGAACTAATCGGTGGCAGCTGTTGCAAAGTGAAAATAGTGATGATGATTATTAATACCCGTCTGGGGACAGTACCGAAATAACAAGAAAAATGTTAGATTTATGTGGATCTTCCAGTGATTTTGAATAATGTCCGAATACGGACCAAAAATAGAATCTGACCCATCTCATTTAGAATTCGTGAGATTAACATGTCTCTCCATCCGGCAATCGTTTCATTTCCGATTAAGATTTGTTTGTTGGTGGACCTTTCTCGTCCACAAGTTGCACAACATTTGCGTCATACCTATCTGTTATTCTTCCACGCCCGTTTATAATTCGTGGCCATCTCTAGTTTTATTCCTGTCGATTTTTTCTCTCCTAGAGAATGATATATTGGAGGTAAGATAACACACAGTTCTGTCATTCTGTCATGCAAGCTTGTTTAACAAAAACTATATTACGATGTTATTTTATGATCAAATTTTATATCACAATTAAATATATTTTCAGTTTGGGGTTCAACGAACGAGAATTTACAAGTCCAACAAGGAGGGAGAAGAAAGTTGGAAAACATGCGTATTTCTTTCTTTGTTGGTTGTGGCATGGTAGGTTGATTACTTCTCTGTCCGAAAGAAAGGTAGATAAATACATATAGGGGAGAGGGAGAGTAAGAAAAAAGAAAAAGAGGGAGAGAGAGAGTGAGTGAGAGAGAGAATGAATGAATGAAGTTTTATTTAATGTTGCAGAATTTGGTCGATGTAGATGGCTAAATAAGTGCTTAGACGAAATTGATAATTAGAGTTATTAAATTACTAATAAGACAAATAGTATTAAGAGACTAGCAGTGAACAAATTATTTATCAAAAAAATATAGAAAACAGATGATAATTTTGAAGTTATTTCCTAACGTGAATCTAATAATTAATGTATATTATAAAAACAATATATTATGTTTATATTATATGTTAGTATAGAAATTCGATATTAAATATAAAAACCGTTGATAACATAATTGATATAAAATATAAAAATATTGTTACATAAAATATAAAAACTTTGTTCTTTAATTTGGTACAGTTTTTTATAAAGAAAAATTAAATAAAGAATAATTTTAGTTGTAATAATAGATAATGTCAAATCATTATTATTTTTAAATAATTGTTTAAGAAATAATAAAGTTGTTGTTCAACGTGTTATTATATTTTATATGTTTATTAAAATAATTAAGAATTGTACTCATACTTTTGCGGCAATTTAGTTTTTCAGTGAGAGAGAGAGAGGGAGAGAGAGAGAGAGAGAGAGAGAGAGAGAGAGAGAGAGAGAAGGTTCTCGGAAAAGAAACTTCACCGTTAGAGTTTATTTGTTGTGAATTTAACCCTTCTATCTGTCCTGAAATCCGTCTGTGACCTATAACATTTTGCCGGTAAATCAATTGCATACTAGTAACAATTTCGGTTTATCACTAAAATATTTCCGGGTGAAAGGAAACAAGTTACAATTTGATAATGTGCTTATATTAATAATTAGCAAAAGAAAAAGATTATATCATTTACAGTAATTCAAAGGAAACTTTTATCCTGTTAATTATATCCACTTGTCTAATTGTAAATAAGGTATTAAACAAACAAAAAACATTTTTAAATCAACTATATGACTGTTTATGGTTTTTTTCAACTGTGCAAAAGCGAAAAGGATCTAATATCTAATTTATCATTGTAAAACTGCAAACAAAGGAAAAAGAAGTAATTGCCGTGTATTCAAATAGCTAAATTAGGATATTTTTAAAAGTTTTATATTGACTTTAACCCTTTCAACCCTTATTCGCTCTCTGGATAATCCGTGACTCCGTAAATAAGAAAGGCGTCGGCTCTGGCAAGATTGGATCCGGCCTTGCAGTCGACTTTCCTCCCCTTGGAAATATGTGACCGGAAATTATGCAGCCGAGGATTAATGGAGGGAGATAAATCGCTTTTCCATCAACAGGGGGTCAATCGGCGTCCATCGGTTCACGAAAGTAGGACGTTGTCCAGGTCACGTATAAAGTCAATCACGGCTAAATATTGACTACGGGCCTTTCGAAAGATCACCTCGACTGCGGATCGTCCTCCCCCGGATCAATCTCGGGTCAAAAGGATCCATCCGACCCGAGGGACGATTATACTTTCGGGACATACTTGCTTTTTCAAGTAAAAGATTCTCCAGTCACGAAATTCCACCGTGGAAACAAGGTCCTTGCATTAGCATTTCGAGTTTGAGAGAGAAAATCTTTTTTTAATGAACTCTGCTAGGAGGCATTGAAAGACTTTTTTATACATATTTTCTATTTTCACAAAAGAACAATATAACTCTCTCGATTAATAAATTTCTTTTGGAATTTTAAGATACAATTATGTAAACTTCCAAGTTAAAAAAAATAGGTGTTTCTTAAAGCAGGTGGAAAGGAAACCGCACTCGTACTTCGACCCCTATACATTTATCGACAAAAGGTGGCTTTTGAGGGTGCTAATAGACTCCTGAGATAGAAGGAAATAAAGCCAGGTGTAAGGAGGGGCCACTATAAAATTTTGGAGGGCATTGAAATCAATGTGATGGCCATAAATGCACCTGACAAAATAAGAGTAAACTGTGAACTATACCGTAGGAACTCCCCGGAGACAAATCACGATAAATTTCGAAGCAGAGACCGTGACATAAACAGCATAAGCAATAAGGAAAAATAAAGGTGCAGAGATTTACATAATCTCAGAGTCAGACAGCCATAAAG